GAAAAAGAGTAGAACACGCTGCAATGTAGCAAAACACTCGATCTTTCTTTGAAAATTGAAATTTCTAGATACTTGCTAAAAGTGACGGTGGTGCGGCGTCGATCATTTCGACGATCTGTATTTAGAATTCTTCCATCTAATTTCACCTCTAAATTCATCTTATAGTCGATATGCTAAAAAATCGAAATCGGATCGGTGCAAAAGAAATTCGCACCATTCGTGATGCGAAAGTCGTGAGTTCGCATTTAGAAAAAATTCAGACGAGAAGAAAACCTATCGTTCGAAACGTTTGCTTTTCTCTTTCTTCTTACCTCCCCTCGATTTATCATTTCTAACGTTTCTAACTAATCGACCGCGCTTTTTTTTTCTTTTTTTTTTTTTGATCGATTCGAACCAGAAGAAAAAGGAAACACCGATCCTTCTTCGAAAAACGAGAATGGGATTTTTTTCTTCTTCTTCTTCTTCTTCTTTTTCGCAAGTGAAAAAATTCTACGAACGCCGCCGTTACAGCTGCTTCTCATCCTCTACGCGATAGAAAATTTGCATTTGTATCAAAATGTGGGCGTTGTCGCGCGTAAGAAAAAAGTTTTCTTCCCTTCCTTCCTTCCTTCCTTCTTTCTTTCTTTTCTTTTTTGCACTTCGGTAAAGAGTGAAGAACAAGCGCGCGCCTTGGTACACGTAGCGATCCTCCGAATCCCTCCTCTATATACATCTACGCGTCTTTTCATTCGCCTTTCTTTTTTCGTGTGGATTGCTCAATCGGTCCGTCGCGTCGTAACAGAACGATTTTCGCCGATGAAAATTCTCCTCTCCCCCTTCTTTCTTTCTTTCTTTCTTTCTTTCTTTTTTTCTCTCTTTCTGAAAACGGACCGTTCCCAAAATCGAATGCGTCCTCGATAACTCGAACTCTAAAACGACGCCTAACCGCGTGAAGATCGCCCTAATACACCTTCCTCTAATCCACATCCTTTTAATACGTCTCTCTCTTCTTTTTTTCTTTTTTCTTTCTTTTTCCCCTTTTTTGGAGCGACCCGCTCGAGAGGGGGAGGATAAAGTTCGCGTTTCTACCGAACGCCAGCCTCGAAATAATCGAGATTAGAGAAATATTGTCGCCTTGTGAAAAAACGTCATCTATCAACGCGCGCCAACAAAAGTCTTGGCTCGTTCTCGTTTCGCATACGTTCGTAATGACCAAAAATATATGTATATATATATATGTATATATAATATATTCATTCCTTATATAATTATGTTGCTCCTTACGAGTTAAGTAATGTTAGTTAGTAGGTAATAAGTTTTAATAAGTTTTTTTTTTTTTTGCATTAGGTAGTTTTACATCGATAAAAGGAAAAAAAAAAAAAAAAAAAATAATACGTTGTTGCGTCGGCAATATTTTTTATATAATTTGTTCGTGTTCTCACCTCGTCGACCTCGTCTTTTATCAAAAGTTCCGTGTCAGTGCCGTGTCATCGGCCAATAAAATTCGTTTCGATTCGCGCGCGTTCGTCGGCCGGATAAACAACCCTGCAGAATTTTCTTTTTTCGCGCGCGCTCAACTCGTGTCCTTCATCCCCTTTTCTCGTTTTTTTCCTTCTCCTCTCTTTCCTTTTCTTCCTTTTTTTCTTTCTCCACGGAACGCGCTCGCCGTTCCGTCCCCTACTTCCCCTCTGCATTTGCGTTCTCCTCTGTACACGCCGTACAGGATGTCGTGGATCCGGTGGATCACCCGACAAGGTGTCGTCCCGAATCCCGCACGTGTCGAGAAAATTGTCGTGTCTAATAATTATTAATAATCGAGCGGAACGAGTATACGTTTTTTTTCTTTCTCTTTTACTTTTTTTTTTTCTTTTTTCCTGCCTGCGTGTCACTGTGTGAATAATGGGGGCCCATGTGTGTGTACGTGTGAGATCAATCGTGTGTGTATCGGGTACTCGTGTCGCGTGTGTGTACAATAATAACGTTGCACATCTTGCTTGTATATATGTGTATACATATATATATATATCCGTTTCTTGCGCGTTTCCACGAAATATTCGCCACAGAGTGGAGAAAACAGTTCCGGTACGACCTACCGTCAGCTGGACAGGAGATCGAGGAGGCCGGATACTCGTGTAAAACTGATGGAGTCGCAATGGGTTCGCGGATGGCCGGGCTATTTTCGCTTACTTACTCGCGTTTCTTTTCATCTCTTTTCTTTTATCCCCCCCTTTTCTTTCCCTCCGTTTCCTTTCAACTTCCTACGGAATACATGTACGATGGAACGCGGCCGGTTGTCGACTTCCTTCCGGGTGGAAAGGGCAGGGTCAGGGGGCTTCCGAAGGGGGCTCACTGACAAAAAGCGTGTTCTCTCGTCTATTCGCGCCACACGTTTCGCAACGTGTTCGTTCTCGAAACGTCCTGCACACGCGCATCACCAACGGATGGGCGGAGGTGGTGGTCGGCTTTCACCGGGCCTTCTCCTCGGAAACGCGGAGAGCGGGCCGCGCTCGCTTTCATAGCCGAGGCGCGACAAAGTCGTGTGCACGATTTCCGCTCGTGTTTCCGCCGATCGGGATACGCCGAGAGCGCGAAACAGCCGAGGGAGAAAGGGAGAGTGGAGGCCGAGAATCCTCCGACCGTGGCGACGCGGTGTGTCGATGATAATACCACTCGGGCGGGAATCCCACCCGTGTTAAATCGTTAAAACCCCCGTGTTGCGTGTGTGTATGTGTGTGTGTGTATATAACGCGCGCACGGATCGTTTATTTATCATATATCGTAACTTTTATCATATACTGTATGATCAACGATACCGACTTTTCCTTCCTACTGCTCCACGGAGTCTTCCATACTGATTACGGGTCCGTGTTGCTCCGCCGATTGTTGCCCGTTGTTCGTCTGCTCGCCGGACCTGTTGTTGCTCCCCGTACCGTAGCCCCGTTGCAGTTGCACCACCAATCCGCTCACTGCACCGTACTCCTTCTGTTGCTGCTGTGGTTGTTGTGGTTGTTGTTGTTGTTGTTGTTGTGGTTGTTGTTGTGATTGCGGTTGCTGTTGTTGTTGCTGCTGCTGCTGTTGCGGTTGCGGTTGTTGTTGTTGCTGCTGCTGCTGCGGCTGCTGTTGTTGCTGTTGTTGAGTCTTCTGGCTCGAATGATCTACTATAAGCTTACTATCACAGGCACTTTTTTTGTCAGTTGGTACGGCGTAGAGATTGTGTAAGTCCGGGTAATGATTCAATTGTTGTTGCTGTTGCTGTTGTTGTTGTTGTTGTTGTTGTTGCGGTTGCTGCTGAGGAGCGGTCAGAGTTTTTCTATCTCGATCCTCCTGGCCACCGTTGTGGACCTCGCGTTCCCTGCTGCTACGATCGATCTTGGTCGTGGAATCGCGGGTACTGTCCTCGTCTCTGCTCCCGGCCCTCGAGACGGAGAGGGGCGTGGGCGGCGAGGTGAGTCGATCGCTGCCGTCGTCGTTTCGACCCCTGTCGGACGGTGACGGGCTAAGGTCGACGGTGGGCACCCGCTCGGGCCTCTCGGGGACCGGCCTCCCCCCGCTCGCCGACGGCCCCCTGTAACTCTCGTCCTCGCTGCTGTCCTGCGCCAACCTCGGCACAGGCGTCCTCCTCGAGTTTCGGCACAGTTGATCGATCAACGCTTTGCTCCTCATCGACTCGGGCATCTGTTGCTGAGAGGTGGGCTGCTGTTGCTGATTCCTCGCCTCGGTCATCGCCCTCTGCTCCCTTGGAATGCCCGTCTCGAGACTCGACCTGATCAAATTGTCCAAGAAACTGCCGTTCGCGCCCGACCCGTCGTATATACCCTCCGAAACTTCCCGCGGCACTTTGCTCATTTGTTGCGGCGTGCCGCGAGAATTCGAGGTTCCGGCCGAGGTTTCCGCCATGCCCCCGTCCCTCTCCCTCCCTTGATGCTGCTGCTGTTGCTGTTGTTGCTGCTGCTGCTGCACCATGGCCGCGTTCCTCTGCTGCTCCTGCAACCCTCGGATCCTGCTCGTGGCGAAATATTGTTCGGGCAGGATGGTGGGGACGTTGGGCGCCCCGGCCATGAACGGCGACGGCATGAACGGTGGCGGGTTCCAAAAATTGAACGGAGTGAAAGGTAGATGGGGCATCCCCTCCATGAACGAAGGCATCTTGATCCCGTTCGGGCCCGGTATACCGCCCGGCGACGTGAAAGGTTTCTGCGGCTTCAATTGCGGCTTCTTGTCCGCCGTGCCCGGCCGTATGTTGGTCGCGGCTGCCGCCGCCGCCGCCGCCGCCGCCGCCGCTGTCACCGTGGAGGCCTCCTTCGTCTTGTCGTCCGATTGCTTCTGGTCCCTGGAAAAATCGATCGATCGATCGATCGAAAAATATTCATCGGATCGTAAACACACGACGGAGGAGGATGAGATTATTGTCCTCACATGGGGAAGGAAGGAAAGAGAGAGAGAGAGAGAGAGAGAGAGAAAAAAAAAGATAGGAAGCAGGAAGATACGATACCTCTTCCTCGGCCTCATCAGATGCCGTTCCTTAACTTTGTACTCGAGGGTGGAGTGCGGCACCCCGTAATAGCTGCCCGCCCGATGCACGCTCATCTCACCCCTTTGAACAGCCCGCACGGCCTCGACCAGGCTGTCCCTGTCGTAGTTCCTGTACTTGCCCCGCTTCGGCCTGGTTCCCTTCCCGCCCGTGGCCGGCTTCGGTTTGTTCGCCTCCTGGCTCTGCGGCTTCGCCTGCGCCTGGGCCTGGCCCTGCTGCGTTTGGCCCGGCTGCGGCGGCGTGTACCTTCCCCTCTTGAACGGGCTCGGATCCGTCATGATCGGTTGCTGCGACTGCACAACCCCGCCGCCCGGTTGACACCCGCCCATCCCGCCGCCCGCCACCGTCTGCCCCTCTTGGAATTTCACGCTTATGCTCTTCGCGATCACGTCGCGAAAGTTGACGGCCACCGTTTTCCCGACCAACGAGTTGGTCGGGCTGCTCGTGCCCGAGAAGGCTGGACTCGCGCGTTCCAGGAGGCCGGGACTCGAGGCCGCGGTCGCGAATCCCTGCGCGAACGCGGCCGAGGTCGGCTCCCCGTTCTTGCTCGAGCACCCGGGCGTGCTCGCCGGCTTGTAGGACGGAATCTTGAGGATCGCTCTGCCCTGCGCGCTGTCGCTCGCCTCCTCCTCGATGTTCGGGTTGAAGTCGTCGTTCGTCATCGGGCCCCTCTGTTGCTGTTGTTGCTGCTGCTGTTGCTGCTGTTGCGACTGCGCCTGGGCCTGCGGATGCGTCGAGTGCGCCGATTGGTGATGATGCGCCAGTTGCGGCGGCTGCGACTGGTCCCCGTTCACGCTTTTGCTCAGCCTCTTGTCCTCGCTCATCAGCCTTCTCATCACCTCTGGAATGCGATAATCTTGGGTCTCCATGCCTGCGAAACGAGGAAACGAACAACGAGTTGAAGAAAACTCGGAAGGATCGATCGAGGGGGATTGTGATCGGATCGATCCCAAAGGACCAGATTCGACTCCGTTAAACTTTTCGCGCCTATCAACGTTTGTCGTAATCTCGGATTAGCCTCACCCCTCCCCCCCCCACCCTCTTCCCGACCAACCGCTTTAAGTCGCTTCGAGCCAAGCTCCCATTGAGAAAGTGAAAAAAGTGTCGGCGACCCGTCGACCACCACCTGGCTTCTATCGATTTCCGAAGACCCACCCCGGCTCGTAATACACTTTTCGACTTTCGTCTCGAGACCCCTTCGAGACTCGGCTCTCGAACAGCTCTAGCTCTAGGTCGGAAATAACCCAAATTCTTCCTCGCTCTTTCTCTTCTTTATATCTTCTAGTTTTTAAAATTTTATTATATATCTTATATTGGTTTTTTTACATATATATGTACCTTTGAACGGCGCAGCTGCCGCGATCATCTTTTGTATGTAAGGGCCGATGTTGGCGTGTTCGAGGCCCGGCCACTCGGCTCCCGTCTCCTGCCCTCGTTGCAACAACGTTCTCAGGGAATCACCGCCGCTCCCTTCGAGCGTGGAAAACCTGACGAGATCCTCCAAGGACAACAGCGGCTTCAACAGAGCCTTCTCCACTTCTTTCTCCTCTTCCGCTCCGGACAGTTCTTTGTCGTCCACCTGTTAAGAATATTTATTCTCTAGCGTTTTCTGCACCTTCCGCCCCGCGCCGTTTTTTTAAACACGGAACTCAAGAACACGGATCACGGTTAACACCGATTCGCCCTCTCGAGGAAATGGCTCTCGCCCTCCCACGTCTTGGATCGTGAAACAAACGCTTTCTTTCGCGAATACATTTTTTTCGGTTCTTTTTTTTCTTTTTTCTTTCTTTTTTTTTTTTTTTCTTTTCGTTTTCTACGTATTTCCTTTTCATTCGTAGAGGTCGTTTCTTT